AGTTCCTCTGGGAGAATCCCGAGGCGTTCCAAGGCCAGCCGAGAGATATAATCCCTCCAGCGTGTCCTTGGTCGGCCTCGAGGCCTCAATGTGATTTTTAATTTACACACAAGAACCAAAGACAAACTAATGACAAAGATGCTATAACTAGAAATGTAATGTGGTTTATTATGGTTTATCAGTAACCAGGTCGTAAGCTGGACTTTGTTAAAGTAATGCATGTCAGTAACCTACAGTAACTTTCTCCAGATCCTGTATCCCGTATAATTATTGTATAATTAGGTTTCAGTGTGGGTAAGTTTTTGAAACAAAGCAAACAGTGAAATTGTTGATTTTCATTATGAAGGCGTGATCGTGGTCCAGGGAGGATGAGGAGCTGCATGTGGACATGATGGTGGCAACACAAAGAAAGCTCCTCTGTTATTTTCTATTTGGCTGAACAACATGAAAACAGTGTGTGAAAACTCAAGGACGGAAATTACAGTAAAGATGAGCCTCCAGTTCACTTCAGTAGAGCACATGCAGTTTGTGCATGTGCTGTGTGGACAGTCGAGGGTCATGTGCAGCAGAAATTACCCACACAGACCCACAGTTTAATTAAAGCTGCAAGCAGCGTTGATTGGGCCCTTGCACTCCTGCGCACCTAAGGGGGACTTGCAGCACGCCATTTGAAGCAGTTGTACATCATAACGACTGCTGGACACTGCGCTCACTGGTTAAGATTTATTGCACAGACCATGTGGCAGCAAAAAAGATTTAAAACATTTTTATATGCATTCTTAATTGTGACAACTAGGTGGAGCCACAGACCACACAATAGGCACACATGAGGCTCTGTATCAGACCTTACAATGAAAATGTCACGTAAATTAAATAATTGTCGCACAGGAGATAATTCCAGTAGGTAGCGTTGTGAATATTAATATTACTAGATGTCTACAGTGTGAGACTGTCATCAAACATGTGAAATTTGGGTAAGATTTGACAATATACAATAGAGTTAAAGCCACTGAAGATATTGAATGTTTGCTGTCATTCTTAATTGGGTCCACCAGGTGGAGCCAGAGACCATACAATAAGCACACATGTGGCTTTGTGTCAGATCAGAGTCGGATCAGAGCACATCATACATCAAAATTGAATGTGCTCTACAAACTCACAATATTCACAGGGAAACATCATCTAGGTGTAAAGCATGCTCTGAGCACGTTTGGAAAAGATTGGACAAAGTATCTTACAGTTATAACCACTTCCTCTTTCATAATTCACCGCCACCACTAAAGCCACGCCCTTAAGTGAAAACTCACCTTGTTTACACTGTAGGATCACCAGGGTGAGAAGGATTGGTTGGACATGTTTGCCGCACATTAGAAAATGCATAATGGATTTAGAACCACTTCTTGTTGTGAATTTGCCGTTCTTTTTTGAACACCTTTGATGAGGATGTGGTCCACCTCCTAGTACATGAAATTGTAAAATATTATATGTCATATTACCATTAGGTGGCGCTATGAGTATTGTTAAATATGAGCATGTAGATGTCTCCAGGGTGGGACTCTTATCAGAGCTATAAGGTTTGGGCTAGTTTGGAAAATGTTTGCTTGAGTTATAGCAAGTTGATGTTTTCACGGCAAAGTATCGAATTTCGCCATGGCACCACGGGTGGTCCCTCTGACAAAAATTCAAAAGCTCCGCAATTAAGCATTGCGTTGGTCTGAAGTTGAGATTAAACCGACAATGATATTGGAATTGGACAATATGTCAGGGACATATAGCCACTGTGTGGTTCATATTAACCTCGCCCAGTCACGCCCAGCAGGTTAACCTGCTAGGAAGAGTAAATGAAAAAGTAAAACATAATGTTACACGTATCCATGAGGTGGCGCTATGAGCATTACTAAATATGAATATATGGATCTGTTGAGGCCGGGACAATTATCAAACATATTAAGTTTGGGGCAGTTTGGACAATGCATGCTGGAGTTATAGCGTGTTGATTTTTCATGGCGAAGGATCAAAATTAGCTGTGCCACCACAGGCAGGCTGTTCCACGAAAGCTCAGTTTTCACTACAAGGCATCATCAAGTTCTTAAGCATTTCCTGACCAACTGTGAGGTGGGTGTGGTTAAACTTTTAGGAGCAGTATATCAAAGTGAAAAAAATTAAATCTCCTATTGCCACAAGGGGGCGCTATGGGTATCACTGAATATGAGCACATGAATGTATTCAGAGCGGGACTATTATCAGAACCAGAAAGTTTGGGGCAGTTTGGACAATTTGTGTTGGAATAAGAGCAAGTTGAATTTTTATGGCAAATCATCAAAATTCCTCCAATGAAAACTCAAAAGCTTCACAATTTACGTTGCAAAGGTCTTAAGATAAGTGTGACAAAATATGGTATGTATCGGATAAATCCCCTAGGAGGAGTTTATTAAAGTACATGACCCTTAAATCGCAAAAAACGGCACCAAAATTGCAAATTCAAAATGGCGGACTTCCTGTTGTCTATGGATGCAAGAGGTTTTTTTGTGCATCATGGCATAGTGCATGTGCCTACCGATTTTCGTACATGTAGGTTAAACCAAGGGTATAGGAAGGGCCTTGTTGAAATATTCTAGGTGGTGCTGTCGAGCCATTTTGTCACACCCATGTGCAAGACCCATATCAAATGTAAGTTTTCACGAGGCCTGATGCATGTGCATTGTTTCATGAGTTTTTGAGCATGGGAAGGCCCTCAAAAAGGAAATTTTGCTTTTATGAATCAAGACAAATAATAAACCGAGGTTTCAATTTGGACAATATGTCATAGACATAAAGCCACTTCCTGGTTCATATTCACCTCACTGCCAGAGCCCCGCCCTTGAATGAAAACTCACAATTTTTACAATAAAGCATCATCAGGATTTGCATAGTATTTTCTGACCCTGTTAAAGAGGGCCAGTTCAACCTGCTAGTAAATTAAACAGTAAAACATAATGTCACATGTTGCCATGAGGTGGCACTATGAGTATTATTAGATAAGGGCATGTAGATGTCTTCAGGGCGGGACACTTATCAAACATATAAAGTTTGGGGCAGTTTGGACAATGCATGCTGGAGTTATAGTGAGTAATTTATTCAGGACACGCCGTTCATCAAAAACTCACAGTTTTCACAATGAAGCATCAGGAAGGTCTTAAGCATTTGGTCACCAAATTTGAGATGGTTATGATCAACCCTGTAGGAGACACAAATTAAATGGTAAAACATGACATTTCCTGTTGCCTGTTGTCACAAGGAGGCCCTATGACCATCAATGAATATGGGCATATAGGTGTATTCAGGGCAGGACTCTTATCAAACACAGAAAGCTTGAGGCAGTTTGGACAATTTGTGTTGGAATGAGAACGAGTTGATTTTTCATGGTGAAGAATAAAACTTTGCTGCGCCACCATGGGTGGGTCCTCCAACGAAAAGTCAAAAGCTTCACAATTTAACATGGCAAAGGTCTTAAGATGAGACTGACCAAATATTATGTAGATCTCATCAAATCTGTAGGAAGAGTTTGTTAAAATACGTGACCCTTAATTTGCAAAAATGTGCCAGGAAATTCAAAATGGCTGACTTCTTGTTGCATATAAGAGTATAAGTGCCATAGACTTTTTTGTAGGTCTTGGCATGTTTTATATATCTACTGAATTTCATACTTGTAGGTGAAACAGGTGGTGCTAGTGAGCCATTTTGCCACGCCCATGTACAAAACCCATAAAATATTAAAATTTTCACCAGGCCTGATGGATGTGCAAAGTTTCATGAGTTTTTGGACATGGGAAGGCCCTCAAAAAGGTGATTTATCTTCCGGTCGGAATAATGATGATCACTATAGTTTAAATAGCATCTTCACACCCTTGGTGCTTGGGCCCTAATAATAACAATAATCTTTCCAAAAACAATAGGTTCCTGGCACCTCTGGTGCCAAGGACTGTTGGGGCCTTGCACACTGCTCGGGCCCTAATAAACAGCGAGGTAAACCGTTCGGTGCTCAGGCCCTAAAGATGCATTTGATTTTTATTTCATTGGTTTATAAAGCTCTTAATGGTCCCGGTACTTTTACCCTCTGGACCCGGGGGCCCTCAGGTTGTCTGGTTGTGATCTTTTAATTAAACACAAACCCACAGTGAGGGGTCCTGTTATTACTGTGGTCCAGCCTCCCTAAAGACCTGATGGGAGCAAACTAATTTCTACATTTCAAGCTGCTTTACTGACATGTCCTTTACTGTATGTGTATTTTATGGATTGTTTTCCTTCTAACATTCCACCCTTTATTTCTGCTTTTATTCACTTCAATATATCTCCTCTGTTTTATTTTATCTTTATCTTTGATTTCCAGTCTTCATGTTATTATTGTTGTATTTTTTATTGTTTTTATTTATAACATAGTCAATTATTGCTCTGTGTGTAGGTGGGGGTATTTTTTTATTCCTTTTATTATGTAAAGAACTATATTGTTTGTGTGAAAAGTTTGGCTGATTGATTGTGTTTTTTAGGATAGGTAGTTACTGCATTCATGGATGTGATATAAAAGTCCCAGAGCTTTGCTCTGCTCTGATGTCATGAAACTCAACACAGTTGAAAACATCAGTGGTGAGCTGGGAGGAAGTCTCTAATAAAACCACTGATGTGAATAATGTTAATTGTTAATGTGCAGGACAGAATCTCAGAAATGAAGCAGGGGCAAAATAAACTGTGATGGTTGGAAAAAAAAATGAAAAGTCAATGAGTTTGACTTGAAGAAGAAAACATGTTTTCTACAACCTGAAGAGACAACATTCACAGTTTGTTACGGTGTGAGCACTGCTGTAGGAAATATTGGAAGACAAAATTGAAACACTCAGAAACCTCTCCTCAGTGTAGTGGTGTGATGGTGTGCATAATTAGTAGTGGACACAGTGTGGAGTCAGAGGTGATAAATACTGTGAGAGCATCGTCATGATAAAAACAATCAGCACTACTTGACTTACCTTGGGTCATTCCACTCCCCACATTGTCAGTAGCGTTGAAGCCATTCTGGGAGGTCTGGGTCCCCAGGTCCACCATCTGGTGGAGGCGGAGCTTGCGGCAGTAAATTGATGCTGCTTCGGGTTCTAAGGCAATGATCAGCTGCTCTGGGTTTTCCCGGGACACCAGACCAGACTACACAGGGGCAGAAAAGTTGTTTTCAGCTTCTCTCAAACATAAGTGTCATAATGATGACATGCTCAAAATGTCCATAATGCTACAGCAGGCTGTGTCTGAAACTGTCTACGGCAACCACACGCTAGTTGTTCTTCATGTCCAGGTCTAAACTTTAAACAGCCGTAGAAGAGCTCATGACTTCTGAACACAGTGATATTGTTTGGGTCACAACATGCTCAGAGTTGTGTATATGAAAAGTAATACTGCTCTTGCTGTTGAGGTCCTGCAGTCACAGTCACTACACTAGCTGCTATAAATACAGTAATACTAATGTCTGAGATCACAAATTAATTATGACACACACAAAAACCTGCACAAACCAAAGAAGAAGAACCAAACCAATATTAATGGTTATCTGCAGTTAAAGTTATAATCTGTAATTTTTAAAATCTCTAAAAACAAACTATATGTACTATATGTTCTATATGTTGATGAGTTGTGTTTTTGCACTATCCCAAATGCTTCCATCAATTCTCAAACAAGAGAAATCTGTGATTTTAATCATGGTAACTTTTCATTGGTCACCTGTCAGTGACATCATATCCTCTATGATCATGTGTCATTATTGTGTTTGTCTGACAGAAGCTCACCATTAACTTTTATCTAGTTTTAATCCACATACACTTTTGACACCTTGGTGGTTTTCAGCTCTATATTTGAACCAGATGAAGGATTTTAGTCGTCGGACGTCTGGATCTGAAGTTATCAGAGAAACAAGCTGCGGAAATGTTAGACAGCTCAGCTCCCAGCTGCTGGAGACGTCCTGTCCTGTGTCCACTGAAGAGCATTGGTGAATCTCTGATTTTTAAAGTGAAACTGCTTTATAGGTGTTTCTACTGGTTTGAATCCCCTGGTGTGTTTGTTATGGAGAGGAGGACACCTCTGTGGATAATTCAGCTGCTGGTAAAAACCTGCTGAATGTCTGGTTCATAAGTTATCAGAGAAACAATCACAATAAAGCTTAGCATCAATCTCAGCTCCAGCTCTTCCCTGAGTCTCTGTCCTCCGTACAGCGTCGCTCAAACACTGACTGTAAATGTCAAACTGCTTTATTCAGTGTTTAACAGTTCTAATCACCAGGTCTGTTTGATTTCCTGAACCACTGACACTGAAGGAATCCAAACCAGGAGGAGCTTACAGTAATGGTGAAGACAAGAACTCCCATGATCTCACGCTATTTCATAACGACGACCAATGCCATCTATTGTTATTGTATTAATGAAGAGACTCCTAGAGGCAGAAGTGCAGTAAAGAGCTGTGACGGAGAATGTGGTTAAACCTGGAGCCCATAGAGAAGACTTTCATTTTTGAAGAGAACAAGTGATTCTGTTTGAGAAACAGCATTTAATTAGTTTAAGAAGGTGTTGTTCAACATGCTGGGAAACGCAACCTAGTTACTACTGTAACTTTAGTTCATATATATAAACTCATTAAGTTCATTAAGACTTGTTATGTTGAAGCGTGGTTATGTTAAAAAGTTAGACTACTTTGATTTATCATTAAAGCCCTGTCAGGTTCATATGAAGTCTGCAGCAGGAAGCAGTGTTTGTATAGTTGATACAACCATGAACTCAGGAGCCCAGTCTGTGTCCTGACAAATGCAAAACATTATTCATGATATGAGGAAGATGTCATTTAGTTTTCCGATTAACAGCTGCTGGTGAAGAAACTGAAAATTACAACAGTTATATATCACACTCTTATTTTACATGTGACCTCTGTGTCACAGTTTGTGGTAATGCTGGACCCAAAATGCAACCAACACGAGGGAGAAGTGAAAAATGTTTAACGAACCTTAGAACTTCCAAAAAACTGGTGAACCAACTGAACAGGAAACCGAAGGACGAGGTTACACAAGGAACTACAACAGGTAACACCAACAACAATTACAGACAGCCAAAGCACGAGGAACCACAGGGGACAACAAAAGATAACACCAAGGACACTTACAGACGAACGGGAGCACAGAGACTAAATAGACACAAGGGAGGCAAGGGTGATTGAACACAGGTGAAACACATTAGGGCGGGGCAGTCAATCAACAAGCAGGGAAACAGGACAAAGACAGGAAGTAAAAACATCAAGACACACAAGGAAACTAACTACAAAATAAAACTGCTGTTTGAGAACAGGACCCAGTGCTTGGTGCGTGGTGTTAGGGATGGGTCAGAAGAGAAAGGACTATGGGTTGTGTCATGGTCCCTGGAGAACGGACGGATGATGTGATCAGAGGAGTGGTAACAGTGCTTGCACTGCTGGACGCTAAATCACTGTAGATACCCAGCTTCCACTCTGCTCCCCCTTTCTCTCTACCTCTGTGTTTTAATCACATCCCCTCCCTCTCTCTGTCAGCTCATCCCTCCATTCCTAGCTCCAGCCCCACTGCAAATAAACATCCCCACCCTCCCCCACACCATCCTTACTCCTTTAGCATGCACACGAGGGATATGATCGGGACAAAAGAATGACATCATTGGAGAGGACAGGAATCTGGATCAGTCTAGAACCACTGTTCATAAGACTGAAAGTGTGAATTTGGTTTCAGGTTCAGGTGATTTTTACTGTTACTTTGATATCATTTCTACAACTGGAATCTTTGAGGGAAAAGATTTTCTTACTGTCCAGTTACATGAGAGGATAGGTATTCATTTAATGTCTATAGTCCATAGTTTTTACGTAATCAATAGATCATATATCTATGTGTAATGTGCAGGGTGTCACAGAGAACTAACAGTAACTCTGCAGCTCCACAACCTGCCCAGAACCACAATCAGAGACAAACTGGTGACCGTGGTGGAGCAGTTAGCAGCTTTTTCTCACAAGTTGGTGGAAACCAAAACTTTGGTCAAAGCAGAAAGAATATTGGCAATATGATTCCCACTGAATGATGCTGTTGCTTTGAGTGTGGTGGATATGTAAATAGGCACTTATTTGCTAACATGTTAGCCACATCTCAAAAAGTTTCAGAAAGTGATAAAAAAAAATTCCTGGATTGCTGGTTTTGACAGACAGAGAGATAGTTTGACAGCTTCATGACATCTTGTCACAGGGAGGTTGCCAGGTTTGGTCCCATAGGCAAAACCAAAAACCTGCACCCACCGACAGCCAAAGACTTTGCACAGAAGTCAGAGGCAGGTAAACTGTTTTTCAGCAAAATAGTCACATCATGACATGACACATCATGAATCACAATTTGTCATTTTTACATTTCTGTCCAGTTGTTGGTATGTAGGTGTACTTTTTAACTTTGCAGAGAGAAGGTGGATTATCACAATTTAGTATCAAGGCAAAAGGAAATCATGACATTATTTGATAAGTGACAAGTGAAAACATGATGAGTCAATGTTTGTTGCCTGAATTTAAATGCACAGTGTGCACCTTCTGTCTCTAGGGCTCTCTCAATCAAAACAATAACAAAACACAGCATTGGTTGATGTCATGAAATAGCGTGGGATCATGGGAGTTCTTGTCTTCATCACCATTACCGTAAGCTCCTCCCGGTTTGGATTCCTTCTGTGTCAGTGGTTCAGGAAATCAAACAGACCCGGTGATTTCAACCATTAAAAACACTGAATAAAGCAGTTTGACATTTACAGTCAGTGTTTGAGCGACGCTGTACGGAGGACAGAGACTCAGGGAAGAGTTGGAGCTGAGATTGATGCTAAGCTTTATTGTGATTGTTTCTCTGATAACTTATGAACCAGACGTTCAGCAGGTTTTTACCAGCAGCTGAATTATCCACAGAGGTGTCCTCCTCTCCATAACAAACACACCAGGGGATTAAAACCAGTAGAAACACCTATGAAGCAGTTTACCTTTAAAACTCAGAGATTCATTGACGCTCTTGAGTGACTTTTTTTAGGTCTTTTAATTTTTATTTTTCAATGTTTTTCCAGATCAACTGACATTTGCATTCCTTTCTTTTAGTCTCCTAGGCAGATGTGGATGATGTCTGGCAACAATTTTAATTTTGCAGGACCATCTAAGTACATTTTAGTGTGCTAGGCTTTCCCTAAAGCTTTTTGTGGCTGAGTTAATAATTGATGCACTCACATCTCAGGCCACACACGGTGGTTAAATGAGGGAGACTCAAATCTACAGTGAGTTAGCTGTGGATGTGAATCACATTCTACCTGGAAAAACCAAAATGCTACAACAGAGCCAATGTAAAGCCATCTTGTTGCAGTTATATATGGTTCAGCTTTTGTTTATACAGTTTATCACTGATAAATCATCTCCAGACTGGTAAAGTTCTAAAGTCTTTGTTCTGGATGATTTTCATGACAGACATGAGGTACAATACATGTTGGGGCTTCAGAAATTATCATTGTCAGCACATCTGCTTGAACAGGGGGTATTCATAATGTCTGTGAAGAGGTTTGAGCAGTTTTCTTTTTTATTGGAATCTAATATTATTATCAATCTCTGTGTTAAAAAGAAAAATACAACTAGAGCAGCACACAGCAGACAAGTCCTAAATCTCAAAACAATAAATAAGTCAGATTTTTTACATCAAGATCCAAACATTATTTCCTGAGAAATTGACTAAATACATAAGTATAAATATATATATATATATATATACATATATATATAGTATAAATATATATACAGTATATATATAAATGCAGTGCCACCCTTGATGCTATAATTATGTTTGTGGCCACAATAAAAAATAAACACTGTCAATAAACAGACTCTGTCACATCATTCTTCACATAAACCATTTAAGAAAAGTGGCTCGTTGGTCTAGGGGTATGTCAGTTAGCTTGCAAGAGGTCTCGGGTTCAAATCCCAGAGGAGCCAATTGTTTGGAAAAATACAGTGATGGTCATTGGCAAACCCAAATGTTTCTATGATTCGTAAAGTATGAGTCTCTGTCTAACTGCTCAGCGATTTGTTCACTGAGGCCTAATTGTGTGTCTCACATATTTAAAGGAAACAGTCTGAGGTATTTG